CTCAAAAGAGTGTTTTTTTGCTCAGGAGTCAGACTGGTTTCCAGTCTCTATGCCTCTCTTTCCAATAAGATATCAGACAGTTTTACTGTTATTCATAAAGTTTTTGTTTTCTAAAAAAAAAAAAAAAAATTGTGATTTGGGTGCGTTTTCAGAACAAATTCATTTTTCATTCAACAGTTCGTACACATTTTGTTCCACGACATTGACAGCAATCCCCACAATGTAACAATTCCTCCTTATGGTTACCTTTTCCCTGTGTCCTTCTCTCCTATGCATTCCTGCTCTCTGAGCTATCTTCCTGTGCAAATGCTGCCCTTTGGATCTCCCATGTTGATTGTTCAAAGGAGTGTACCTACCTGGTGTAAATGTTCACCTTGCAAGCCTGTCTATTTGGCTGGAAGCCACGGGAGTAAGTTCAATTCCAGTATTCATAAGGTTTTCAGTGGCCAATTTTTTCAGAAGTGGATGGCTCCATCTTTCTTCCAAGTCTCTTGTAATCTGGAAGCTCCACTGAAACCTGTCCACCAAAGGTGACCCTGCTGGTATTTAAAATACCAGGGGCAGAGCTTCCAGCCTCACAGGAACACACAAGCCACCACAGTACAACAAACAGACGAGTGTTCAGAAAGATGTTTACCTGTGTTTTGTGCACAAAAGCAGCACTGACAATATATAAATAAATAAGCCTGGCTGTGTTCCAATAAAACTTTATTTACAAAAGCAGGCAATGGATTTGACCCATAGGCCATAGCTTGTCAACTCTTGATTTAGCATTTTAGAATGATTATCCTCTGTTCTGCAAATAGGGGGGTTCGGGGGTACAGAAGAGTACAGGATGAGGTGGGTGGTACGGGCTGGGCAAGTGGAATATAAATGGAGATAATAATGTCTATAGTTTATTTCTTGTCCAAATTAAGTGAGCTATTGTAATCAAGGCTCTAATAGTGCTCTTAATAAATTATTATTACTTCTGAGCGTCTATGGGAGGCAAAACAATTGTGCCTAGCTCTTTTAAAGACTGGAAGTTGAGGCTCAGAATGTTAAGAAACCTGCCTCAAGTAACATAACCTTAGATCTTTAGACAGATAGATACATACATATATAGATGCCATTGAGTCCACTCTGACTCATGGTAACCTTATGCACAACAGAACAAAATAATGCCTGGTCTTGCATCCTCTTCACAATTGCTATCAGGTTCCAGCCTACTGTTGTGCTTTGTGTGCTGATCTGTCTCACCTTTATTGGCCCTCTGCTTCACCAAATATGATGTCCTCCTCCACAAATGATCCCTCCTGATGATGTGTCCAAAGCAAGCGAGTTGGACTCTACTTTGTTGTGATCCATGAGGTTTGCTGTGGCTAATTTTTGGGAGCAGACTGCTAGGCCTTTCTTCCTAGTGTGTCTTAGTCTGGTATCTCCACTGAAACCTGTCCATCACAGGTGACCTGCTGGTAACTGAATACCAGGAGCATAGGTTCCAGCATTACAGCAATACACAAGCCACCATGGAATGACAAACTCACTGATTGGCAGTGGAATACAGCCTTGCTGAGCTATAATTTGACTTATCAGTTTGTCTGACTCTTAAGCCCACATTCCTCACCACCATGCCCACTACCACATTCATGATGGGCAGGTGGGTGCTCCTCAACCAGGCTGCTTTCTTTGCTCGACACCATAATGAAGTTAAATTTATCACCCTTGATCTTTAGCAGGCTAGGAATCCCAACCTGAAGGAAACCAGGATTAATCTGGGTGAAACCCATCTTGAAATATCTAAAGCACTCAGAAGATGAGAGAGAAGAGATATCTGTCTACCTCTTACTGACCATGTGAACCTTCCTCTATTGACAGCAATCCTTTGCGGCATTTCTGCATGTCTTGTAAGGGCTCTTAACTCTGCCTAGTTTTCAAGGATGTTTGTACAGCAGTATCCTTCTGGACCTCTGTTACCTCGACACTATGGGCATGTTCTTCTGAAGTGCTTGTAAGGACTTCAGTGAAGCTCTTTTTAGCTTCCACAGACCACACTTTTCTGTCTGTTCTTCTTGTCCCCTTCACGGGCTCCTTTTCTCTCTCTAAACGTCCAGCCCACCTCTGTTATTGCTCCATTTGCCCTCCCTGAGTGACCTCCCTCACACTATTGGTTTTAGGAACCTCTTAAATGGTTGGCCCCCTAAACTCTAGCTCCAATCCAGAGCTTACCCAGCCACCTGCTGAGCAGCTCCACCTCAAACTTGTGACCCCAAAAGAAGCCCATTCTCTCCTGGCCCTCCACATCAACAAATCCTCTCTCCTAGACCCTCTCTCTCAGTGTGTAGCACACCCAAACACCTGTTGCTCCAGGCAGTCATCCCTGAGCTATCCCTTCTCCCCCTCCACATACACCCCCAAGCTACCTCTGAACATCATTTTTTTTTTTAACTCCCTGTTTCAGGGCCTTTACATTCCACCAGGAACCTCTGGGTGATGTCAACAGTAAATATACTTGGCTGCTAACTAACAGGCAGGCAGTTCGAGTCCACCCAGAGGCACCTCAGAAGAAAGGCCTGGCAACCTACTTCCAAAAAGTCAGCCACCAAAAACCCAAGGAGCACAGCTCTACTCTGACACACATGAAGTTCCCATGCATATCTACTCCAAGGCCTTTTCCTCCTACTGTTGTTTCCCATCAGGTCCTAATTCTTTCTGGCTTGGGGAACTGCAATGTTCAGCTAACTGGGCTTCCTGCCTGCCTCAGCCTTCTTAATGCCCCCACCACTTTGTTGGCGGAGTTATGTCTCTAACAGGGATTCAAACCGGTTCACTCCAGTTCGACCCCCTGCTTAGAGTGTGCATTTCCACCTCAGATACACTGAATCAGAACTTATATTTTAACAAGCTCCCCGGATGATTCTTATGTATACTATGATACACGTTAAGTCTTGGTTCCTAAAATATAAACCCAATCATGTTACTTCCCAGCTTAAAGCCCTTCCCTTGCTCCTCACAGCCTGCTGAACAACGTCAAAGTTATCTAACAACATAGTTCATAATACCCTCTAACGTTAAGTCCCAGGCACCCTGAGCTCCTTCCTCCTCTCAAATGCTCGCCAGTCTGTCTCCTCAGACCACTACCACTCAAAATGGAAGAGACATGGGGAGAAGGTGGGATTATAATCATTCAGTGGAACGAACTAGCTTTGCTTTTTTATCGTCTGGAACCAGGAAATCATAAAATGTTGCAGTTACCACTATTCACACATCATCAGCCTGCCTCAAACCCATCTGAGTGTTCTTAGTTTTCTTTTTAAAAATCGTTTTGGATCAGGTGTCATATTTCTACCTGATCATTCCCTATCGTTTCGTTGCTTCTCAGCTTCTCCTGGAGAAAAAAAGCTGAACAATTCCTTCATTACAACCAATAAAGGTACTAAAAGACCAAGGTTTCCAGGCGATAAATACATTTAATTTTTCTCTTCTTTGCCCTCTAACCAAACAAACCGACACCTTGTGTCCACCAGGAGGCGCCAGGGGCGGCGGAAGACCTGCGGTACCTTCACAATTAAGAGAGGCGGGGATGGATGCAGCAGCGATGGACCCCGGCTTCCTTTTTTAAGAATCCAAACGAGGGAAGGCAGCAGAATGGAGTTATTTTAGGGAAGCCTTATCGCACTTCCCCTCCCTCGCGTAGGTAGCGTCTGGGGTGTGTGCACCTCGCTCGCTCGCGGGTCCCATGGAGAGGCTCTGGCGGCGGCTGCAGCGGCAGCTAGGGCTCCTATCGCGGCTGCAACCAGCAGTAACCCGACTCCGCCAGCGCGGGGATTGAAGAGGCGAAGGGGAGAGCGGCGAGCCGCGAACAAAAGCCCTTGGCGCGGGCGGGAGCCCAGAACGTGCGGTAAGTGAACCTGTCCGAAGACCTGGGAGAGACCGGCACTGGTCCGGCGGAGCTCGCTGCACGCCAGGAGACCATCCCGCTGGATGCTGTGGAGGGAGGCGCAAGGCGTCAGGGGGCGGGTGTTCCAGCCCAGACCGAGGGGAAAGATGCCTTCACAACGCATCCACGCTTAGAGGGCATCAAATGCATCTGGGAAGACACAGGCACCTTCTGCAACCCTGCAAACACCCTGGGGGCGGGGGCGGGGCGGCCTGAGCTCTCCGCAAGCCTTGACCCAGAGGCAGGAGGGCTAATCGATCACCCCTCCGGGAAGGGCCTTTCAAGACGGAGGCATTTCTCTTAGTCTTTCCCTCAGGCCGCATTGTGTAGCCCCTGGACCGGGTCCTCGGATCTCCTTTGGTGGCGAGAAACCCGTAACTTCTTCCCTAAACAAACGCGGGTCCTCGCAGCAATGCACTTTGGGGATGCAGAGCCCCCTTCCCTTTTTGCTCCAGCAAAGCCGCAGCCCCAGCTGCCCGCCTAAACTACAAACAGGCTAACCTCCAGGGAATCCTCCCACGCCTCCCTGGCCGGCTGTCGCCCGCACCCTGCTCTTCATTTTAATTTGCAGCAGGAAGGGAATATACCCAGTGGGCCAGACGCCCAGGGGAGCCTCGCAGTCTGGGGTTGAGGGAGATCGAGGCTGTGGGTACTGCTACCCCTACCACCCCCAGCTGGGGTTTTCAGGCCATCGGTATTATGATTTAGGTTCCACCAGGCCCCTGAGCCTAATCCGAAAGCGGATTAGGTTGGGGGTTGGGGTAACTATAAAAACCAAACTCACTGCTGTCACTATAGGGAGGAGTAAAGAAACAAACCAAACTCACTGCCATCAAGTGGGATTCGACTCATAGCGACCCCTCCTTGGGTTTCCGAGGCAGTATCACTACGGAAGTAGGATTGCCCAACCTTCCTTCCGAGGAGTGGCTGGTGGGTTTGAACCGCCAGCCTTCTGGTTAGCAGTCAAATGTCTTAGTCACTACACCACCAGAGACTTTCCAGGAAGGGTAAACTGCTCTCAAATACATTGTTCCGTGTCCTTCCCTTGTCATCTGCAGAGACTCCACGAACCGGCTTAGCCATGGTGGACCCCGTTCCTGAAGAGAAGACGGAAGCAGAGCTCGGAGACTCAGGAGGAGACGGAGCCGCTGCGTCGGTGCCCCCTGACGCCCAGGGCGCCCAGGAGCCTGCGGCCTCCTCGGCCTCAGCGGCGGTGCCCCGCAAGGCAGACGTCCCATGCGTGGCAGAAGGCGGGCGGCGGGAGCAATCTCCGCTGTTGCACCTCGACCTATTCAACTTCGACTGTCCGGAGGCCGAGGGCAGCCGCTACGTGCTGACCAGTCCTCGCTCCCTAGAGGCTTGTGCCCGGTGTGCCGTCAAGCCGGTGGAGCTGCTTCCACGGGCCTTGGCCGACCTGGTGCGAGAAGCCCCGGGCCACTCCATGCGCGTGGCCACAGGCCTCTACGAGGCGTATGAGGCGGAGCGGCGCGCCAAGCTGCAGCAGTGCCGTGCGGAGCGCGAGCGCATCGTGCGTGAGGAGAAGCGGCGTCTCTTCACGCCGCTGGGCGCGGCCCCGAGCGCGGCCCCGAGCGCGGGCAGCAGCAGCAGCTGCAGCAGCGCCAGCCTTCCGGCCTCTCCCGCGCCCCGCGCGGCCCGAAAAGCCTCTCCCAGCCTCTCCCCGGCCAGGACCCAACCTCCGCCCGCGGGCTCGCGGACAGGTAGGAAAAGCCACTCGCTGGATTCGCTATCTCGCCGACGCGAGGGCGCCCTCAGCTCCGAATCCGGCGCGTCGTCGTCATCTTTCAGCGGAGAGAGCCTGCGGGAACTGCGCTGGCCGCCGCGACCCTCGGCCAGGCATAGCTACCCGGCGGGGTCGGCGTCCTCCGCTCCCAACCCTCTGGGCCGTCCCTCCGCCCTGGCCTTGGTTCCAATCACCGGCCGCAGCTTCAGCCTGGGCGACTTGAGCCACTCGCCGCAGACGGCCCAGCACGTGGAGCGCATCGTGCGGCAAGTGCGTGCCGAGCGGGGCCTACGCGGGGTGCCCGAGCGTGACCGGAAGATCGCTGCGCTCATGCTGGCGCGGTACCAGGAGGAGCGCCTGTTGCTGGAGCAGCGCGTCGCAGCCCACGGTCAGTGGGAGCAGCAGCGCGTGCGCGCAGAGCAGCGGCGCGAGAACGAGGAGCGCGAGAAACAGCGCTCCTTGGAGTTGGGTCGCCGGGCCTGGGCTGCGCAGGTGGAGGAGCGGCGGGGTCGCCGGGGCCGCGAGGAGCGTGAGGCGGCACGGCGGCGGCAGCGACAGTGCGAGCGCAGCGAGGAGCGGCGGCGGGAGCTAGCCGAGCAACAGGGCCTGCTGCGGCGGGAGCGGGCGGATCGCGCGGCCCGGGAAGACCGGCTTCGTAAGCTGCAGCAGGAGCAGAACCTGAAGAAGCGGGAAGAGGGCCTGCAAGAGGGGCGCGAGCGGGCGGAGCAGGTCCGCAGGGAGCGCGCCCAGCGGGCAGCCCGCACCAAGCAGCGGCAGGAGGACCAGCTGCAGCGGGAGAAACGGGAGCTAAGCCGGGCTGAGCGTGCGCGCCACGAGGCGCTGCTGCAGTGCCGGGCCCAACAGGAGAACAAGGAGCGGGAGGGCCTGCGGAGCTCCCTGGCGGCCAGCTTGGGCCGCGCACAGGAGAACTATGAGCAGTTGGTGGAGCAGCGCACCCGGGAACTGCGGGAGCGGGCACGCCGGGAGGAACTGCAGAGCCGGCGGGCCAAAGAAGCGGCCGAGCGCAAAGAGAGGGAGCACCAGGCCCACCTGGAGGCTCTGGCCCGGGCCGGAGAGCGGCGGCTGCAGCACGCGGCGCAGGCGGCCGAAGAGGCGGTTCAACAGAAAGCGAGGCGCGTGGTCCAGAGCCGGCTGGAGAAGGAGCGGGCCCAGCGCGCCAACAAGGAGAAGGTGGACAGGGACGAAGACTGCCGCCGGCGGGAGCTGCTCCAGGCTATCGGGCGTAAGCTGGAGCGCAGCGAGCAGCTCTCGCGGGAGCGGCGCAGCGCACTGGAGAGCGCCCGCTCCACCGCCCGCGCCTCCTTCCACGTTCGCGAGAAGGTACGGGAGGAGACCAACACGCGCTCCTTCGACCGGATGGTGCGGGAGGCCCAGCTACACGCTAGCCTGGACCGCAAATGATGGCCGCCCTGTGGCAGGCCGACTGTCGCTCACAGCCCTGTTGGGCCTTCCTTGGCCCTGCTGACCAAATTGTGGGAGTTCCCAACCCAGTCACAGCACAAGGCCTCTTCCGGCTTCTGACCAATGAGGCAAAGAGAAGACTGACAGGTGGGACCTCTCCGTCCACTCCGTTTTTAAAAACTTGATTCGTTTGGAGATGAAATAGCACAATCTTTGACCACTTTCGCAGTTGACAGCTCTTGCTCCAGCCCGTGCAAAGCCTCCCTTTGTCTTTCGCGTTGGAGCAAGTAGAAGCTGGGAGAAAGGGGCCTGGTCGTCTGAGGGGAGGGCCTTCAAAGAGCGTGCACGCAGGTGGTTGCTCTCAGCCCTTCTGCTGCAGTCGCCCTGGCACCTTCCAGACACTGATGTCTGAGCCAACTGTGGTTGTGCGGTGGAGGAGGCCTCCTCTCGGCTCACCTCCGTCTTTGAAAACACAGCAAGTTGCACAAAGCTTGGAAACCTCCCAGAAAAGCACAGATCTTTGAAGGTGTCAGGCCACACCTAAGTGATCCAGAAAACTGTCGATTTTTGTATGCTTGACTTTAAATTGGACAAGCAAATTCTTGTCTTAGTTCTGATAGTGTTTCAGTTGAGCCCCCTAGGTTTTCTAGTTAGACAATCATCTGCAAATAATCAAATTGTGTGTTTTCTCTTTCCCCTTATTCTCCCAAGTGGCACAAGAAATCTGTTGGTTTCATGATGCCGTTTAGCTTTAGGGAAGCCCTCACCCCTGGGAGAGGCAGGATTCCTTAGGCAGCAGTGTTCCACCCGGTTAAGCTTTCTGGTAGGGTGGTTTCAGGCAAGGGGGTGTCTGATGCCCACCTCCCATTGTGGGATCCAAGGAGCTGCATTACTCCTAGGCAGACAGCAGACCTGCCTTAAGAACAAGAGTTACCTTATGTGCCTGCCCAGGCCGTTCCTGCCTAAATCCCCAGCCCTGGATGTAGTCCCTAAGGGGTGGGCCCCAGAGAGTTTGGGATGTTGGATTCCCTCTGTGAAGGAATCCTCACAACTGCTCTGAGGGCAATTAGGGTGCCCTTGGCTGCATTACTGTGGTAGCTGAAAACTGGAATTGCCTCTTTGGTGTTGAGAATTGTGCTGGTGTTATTTGTGTAGCTCTACCTCCTTCCCCCTCACAGGAGGAAAAAGAGTTTCCCCTTGAATTCCCTCTCATTCATGGTTCCCTCTCACCCACGACTTGAAGTATTTAATCAGTTCTCGGTGCCTCACCTTTCTCATCCCCCAGATGGGGCTGGCCATCAGTCCTCCTGTCCTAGTACCTCAAGTTCTCCCGGATCCAAAGGGCCACCTCAGTATTATTTGTTGGTCTTCTGTGTGCCTTTCTTGACCTGAAGTTGGGAGGTAGGAGGGCTGCTGTTGGTCTAGTTTGTTTGTTAATGGGAATGGGGATTCCTGGCACTGGAAGGGGCAGTGCACATCATGAACAGATGGTCATTAGCCTCTGGGCAAAAATACTTCCAAGACCAGGTCATTCCCTGATCCAAAAGGTCATGTTCAGTTGTCATGAGAAAACTGTAATCCTTAGAATGCTTCCTTTCTAAGAAGTCGAAACAACCCCTCACCATAGCCACCCATTGACTCTGCCTTCTTTGGGAAGGTAGGAAGCGTCACTTTTTGCATTAAATATGATCAAGAAATTAAGTTACCAAAAAAAGAAGGAATCAGGGTAGAGAACATTAGGCCTATTTCATGTATATTCTGGGCAGTATTGTCCCTAAAATGTCTGCCTGTTGCACACACACACACATTCCCTCACCCCTATCACATGCCAGCAGGTGCAGAGCAATAGTGTGTATGATGTTGTTGTTGTAGAGTAGTACTTAGGTATTGAAGATGTCGAACCAGGAAAAGAGCTGTGCCAAGGTTTATCTCTTCAGTGGCTGGAATTTCATCCTCCCACTTTCTTGTCAATAACTGAATTGTCAGTAAGTTGTAATGATTGGCATTGTCTGTGAGTCAGACATTTAACCAAAGGGTTAATGTGATTCTAATTATTAGCTTGTGGTTCCAGATTTGCTAACCCATCCATGAATTGTCGAGTCATTTCCGACTCATAGCCACTTACAGGACCAAGTAGAACTGGCTTCACAGGGTTTCCAAGGCTGTAAATCTTTATGGAAGCAGACTGCCTCATCTTTCTCCCATGGAGCAGTTGGTGGGTTTAAACTGCAGCTTTTTTATTAGCAGCCAAATGCTTTAACCACTGTGCCACCCCATCTCCTTCAGATTTGCTAAAGGACTTTTGAAATCTTGATGGAAAAATCTACCGTAAAATGATTTCCAAAAGATGTGCATTTATTTGACGAGGAGACAGTCCACTTTTTTTGATAAGGCACTGAGTGGTACATAGCTCTTAACAGACCCTTTCCCCAGTTTCTTTTCTGACTTGCTAAGTCACCTTAAGTAGATCCACCTCTGTGAGTTTCCCACCTGTGGGATGAGGATCGTGATTGCTTCCTTGCAGTGGTCCCACACAAACACTGAGGATGAATCAAAATCTTAGTGGTGCTCCCAAGTCTATGACTCTGGAACTGCAGGTGTAATCACTATAAACAGAAAGGGTCATGTGACTGTACTATGCCTGGAGAGTGGAAGTAGCGTTCTGACCTAATCCGAAAACGAAACCACTGCCATCAAGTTGATGCTGACTCATAGCGACCCTGCAGAACAAAGTAGAACTGTTCCATAGAATTTCCAAGGCTATAAATCTTTATGGAAGCAGACTGCCATTTCTCCCTCCTGTGGAATGGCTCATGGGTTCAAACCACCAGCCTTTCAGTTTGCAGCTGAGCGCTTTAACCACTGTATCACTAGGGATCCTTTGTCATGACCTAGTGGAGGTCAAAGTGTAAGGTGTTACAGAGGCTCAAGTCTGCCCCTAGAGATAAACACTATGTAAAGGCAAAAACTTTTGGATTAACAAAGTGTCCAGTATAGCTAAGTAGAGGTAAAGCAAATACATGCCGAACTTAATGGTGAAGACCTGACCCTCCAAATTCCACAATGTCCAGCTCTGTATTCTGGATAAGCGACCATGTTGCTTTTTGAGGAAGAACAATTGCCAGAACGCTTTGTGGGCTTTAATTTCTATTCTTTTTTGTGAAGCAGTGCCAGAGAGGAGAAATTGTTTCTTGTTCTGAAACAACACAAGATAAGATGGAGGGGTGGGGCTGGGTGGGAAACAGCTTGCTTCTCTCGATGTGAAAATTCGAACATGTGCCCAGAATTTGCCTCAGAGCACTGTGTTAGAAGTTTTCTTGCCATCCTGGAGATTGCAGCCTAGAAGTGACCACAGACCGTCACGCCAACCCTCTTGAGAAACCCTTTGCTCAGAAAAGAAAGAATGTGAAGTAGGATGAGGAGAGGCGTGGGAAGGGTTGGAAGAAGCTTTTGTTTGGTGTGTTACCAGGGAAACAAGCAGGACAAAACCACTTCAGATGGAATCATCAGTGAAGCTAGCCCAGGGCCCTGCTCAGGCAGTAACCAATGCCTTCACCTTAGGAAGATGGGGGTTCCTTTGGAAGCACTAAGAGTGAGTCTTCAATGGGAGCAGTAACCAGGAACTTCCAAAAATGAAGAGTCTGGAGAATTAACATATATTAAGGTGTGATTTATGCTCATTTGTCTACCATTCATCATTTTCTCTTCTTAAAAAAGACAGTCGGAACAGAGGTGAATCTACCTAAGTGGCTATATTAAATTTACCATTGAATGTCCAGTAGCCCATGAGTTAAGGCCTCACGTATACTTCTTGTTGTTAGGTGCCATCGAGTCAGACCCGACTCATAGCGACCCCTCCATGGGTTGCCAAGGCAGTATCAGTACGGAAGTAGATTGCCCCCTCTTCCTTCCAAGGAGTGGCTGGTGGGTTTGAACCGCCAGCCTTCTGGTTAGCAGTCAAGTGCCTTAGGCACTACACTACCAGAGCTCCTTCACATACACTAAGCACATAAATACTGAATGGAGAGAGGTATTAAGGTATGGATGCATGATGAACAAACAAATGATGGGTGACCAGAGAAAATCTGTACCAAATAGAGTCAGTGGGCCAGTCTCCATCCATTCAACACAAGTTTATTGAGCACCAGTTATATACCAGGGATGGTTCTCTGTGTTGGGGAGGTAGAGTCTGATCACTGGGCCTGGGGCTCACTTATGATACAATGTCATGAGCAGACTCTTTGATTTCCCCATTGAGCTTAACTACTTCCTACCCCAGTATCCACCCACAGGCTAACCTAATGGTCCCTCAAAGCACTGACTTCAAGCTTTTTCATTTGCCTGGAGACAATCCATCCACCAACCCAGTCATCATCTAGCCATTTTTGCTTTTGTCCCTTCGGAGGAGACTTGATTAATCAGTTCAAATTTGTGAGGCCATGCACTTAATCAATTTTAAGTTACAGTAAAAAAAGAGATGTTAAATCATTGTCAAGGGCAATGCCAGTTGTACCTTTCAAAGATGCAGCATAAGGATCGTGGATCTATACAGCTGATCCTCAAGCCCTGTGGAACCCCATGTCCCCACAAGGGAATAAGCGCCATCATTTCATTGTTGTTGCAGAAGCAAGAAAGTCAGTGTATCAGAAAGATTTCCAGTATAAAAGTCCCAAAGAAAAGCAACGGTCAATACTGAATTAATGAGAATTTGGGTGAATCAGAATATCCTGCTTCCTAGCCCTTCCAGGTAGTTGATGTGACCCATATAGTGATATGACCACATCCCTACCCTGCATGACCTAGGGAAACATTTGGCAGAGGACCATAAGACTGGCACTTCTTGGCCCAGCCTAGAAAGGGGCTTTCAGGGACCCAGCAGATACCTCTCAGCTCTAGAAATGGTTGTGAGGTCCCTTATTTGGCTTCAGATGTCTGACGTGTCAGCCCCTGCAGTATTATACCTGTATTATACCACCCCACCTCCAGCTGAAAACAAAAGC